TTTGGACAATTTTGGATGTCCTGTAAAGGAGTTTCATTGTGTGGACCTAGTCTTATGATCCGACAGTGAAGCCGTATCACTGCTAGATCTAGCACACCTAAAAGTCATGGGTCAGTACGGATTGTGGGCTTGTAGTAGTTTAAGAAAATCTCTCGCACCCTCCCCATATTTTAGTTACTTTCAACTTATGTTGGATTTACGCTTAACTTGTACTAGAGTTACAATGATTGTTTGTATGTAGAATTAGTATTGAATCCAGATTCTTTGTGGCCAGTTATTGAGAGCTAAATATTACCCCAATGGGGAGTGTTTTGAGTGCCAAACCAAAGAGAGGAATGTCTTATACCTGGCGTAGCATCCTCTCTGGTTTTGAACTGCTCAAGAAAGGGGTAGTTTGGAGAGTGGGTGATGGGTCAAGCATCAAAATATGGGAGGATCCGTGGCTGCCTAGGGAGCATACTCGCAGACCTTTCACGCCGCGGAGAAACTGCCTCCCGACACGAGTTGATGAGTTCATAGACCCAACTGTTGGTGCATGGGATGAAGCACTTATTCGTGATTTATTTTGGGAAGATGATGCCAAGATGATTTTGTGCATTCCGGTTCATGATGGAATGGAGGACATTATATCCTGACACTACAATAAGTACGGGCTCTTTTCTGTCCGATCAACCTACAAAGTGTGTGTTGAAGATCGGAGGCGAAATGATAGTAGACAAGCAGGATCATCCTCAGCTGCGGCTAATGGTGATGATCACTGGCGGAGCCACCTTGGGGCCATAGAGGGCCATGGCCCCCCTTGCCTCCGTGAATTTCTGAAGGAGCCCATGTTCTATCCAGCCCAAATCGTCTAGCACAGCATGTCAGTTGGCAACAACACCCAACGCTAGGAACTCGCAAGCCGCAATTCTCTGCGAGACCGTCATATCCAGCTGCTTTCTGCATCTGCGAGCGGTGGGTCGCCGAGTCAGCGCCTCAGCGGGTGACCGGCGAGCCAGCGGGGCGGCGGGGCCTACACGGACGGCCGTCGACCAGCAGCTAGCGTCAGCTCCGTCCCCCACACAGCAGTTGTCTACTCCTCTGCATCTGCCCTTTGCTGCTTTACGTACAGGCTATAGGTCTACAGCCATACATGTATGTTTGATTTCTTATTGATTTTTTTTTTGCTTCTAGACTAAAATCGATAGGCTATATATGCTAACTATAAGTGGCTGATTGAGTGATAGACCACACAATCAACTATATTTTGTTTACTGTGGCCTGATTATAAGACAAATTTCTCCACCACCTATATATTTATGGGTTTAATTGGCAAATTGGCCCCACCTATGTTTTGGTTCTGGCTCTGCCACGGGTGATGATAGCTTGTTGTGGAAGCACCTATGGAAACTGAATTGTCCAAAGAAGATGCAACACTTCCTATGGCGGCTTGGTCACAACAGCTTGGCCCTCCGTGTTAATCTCAAGCGTCGCGGGATGAAGCTGGACACAGTTTGTTGCTTATGTAGGAGACTTGATGAGGATGGAGCTCATTTATTTTTCAAGTGCAAGCATGTTGCTAAGGTGTGGAATGAATTGCAAATGAGTCAGGTCTGCAACTCCATGGCTTTGCTCTCCTCGGCCAAAGAAGTGATCAAGGAGATTCTGAAAATCAAGAGTGATATTCAGAGACAAGTTATAGTGCTGCTTTATATACGGTGCTCTGAAAGATGCGCTAGACATCAGGATGGAAACGGATCGGATTCGCATGGAATTGGATTCGGATACCACCTTTTACCACATTTTAATTCGAATACGAATACAGATATGAATACTTTCGAATACAAATACAAAACGGTTGTCTCGAATTCGGATTTCGATTAGGATATTTACTCGATTCAACTCAAAGTGTATATTGTTAAATTCAACATTTATTAATAAAATTTTACTACCAGTTCATCCTTAATTGAAGTTCACTAAACGAAAGTACACTTCTAATAATCTTCAATATCGAAGTAAACTAAATTATAATGGATAATATTTATTAAAATAATAGGTCAAGTGAAGAAATTCAAATAAAAAGTGTAGAAAACAAATAGCCATTTTGCTTTATCAATATTTTTGGAATTACAAAATTACTACATAAGTAGAGGTTAAATTATTTGTGTATATAATATAGACAAGGATAGCTCAAAAAACAATATAGTTATTAATAAATATTTAATAATTGAAATATCAATCAACTAATCAATATTATATTTATATAAATATATTAATAACTATCATAAAATAGAAATTATATAAAATAATTTATATCAACAAATAAATAAACTAAAGTATTAAAATAATCTAAAACAACAAATATATTAGGTTTAAACTAAATTAGAAAAATACTAAAATTAATTTAATCTTTATGTATCCTTTATAATTCTAAATTAATACTAAAAGTTATTTATAGATGCACTATAAAATGGTTCCAATGCATAGAAAACTTTTAAATAGGTTCATGATACCTTGTTTCCTTTGCAGATACGGATACTGCCGGATATTGTCGAATACGGATCTGGAATCGGATAGAGAAAAACATTGAAAAATAAATTCGGATATATCCATTTAGTTACCATATTAGAAACAGATATGAATACGGATATCCATATTACAGGTTTTAGCGGATACGGATATCAGATAATTCGGATATCCACTCCCGCTTTCCATCCTTAGCGAGACACCTAGAAGTTATCTGCACGTGGCTCACCTGGTTCGCTCATACGCTGATGAATTCACCTCCCTACATCAGTCAAGTCCGGAGACTACTGGTTTTGTCAAAGCCAATTGCGATGGAGCTTCCAGTCCCGAATCATGCTCAGGGGATGGGGCTTTGTGTTACGTGATGAAGAGGTAAGGGTGATAAGCTCTGGCAAATTGGAGACGGCTCTCGAGCCAATTCATACGGAGATCCTTGCTTGTCTCCAGGCGTTATAGCGAGCAGCTGAGTTGGGAGTACAGAGAGACTGATCCTGGCGACAGATGCAGTAGCAGTGGTGCATGCAGCTACCTCCCTGTCCCTGGACCGATCGAAGCTCGGCGTGTGGCTTGATTTGGGAGCTTAAAGATCTTTTATTTATTTTCTAATTTTGTATCAAGATCAATTTCCCATGATCCTCGACATTGTAAGCACATGGTCTTGCTAGCTTAGGGGCTAGCCTGGGTTCTGGCCCGTACTTGGTTAGGGACAATATACCCTCTTGTACGCCAAAGATTTGGCGCCGGTTGATGAGTAATGGAGTTTATTTCCATGTTAAAAAAAATGGGTTGTGAGGAAGCAATACCTAGTTTTCGATATCACTGCCGGTTCAAAATCCCCCTTCACTGCTGAATTTTGAACCGGCAGTGGCATACCGGCAGTGATGCTCGCTGGCTACTGCTGCCGGTACTTCACCCGGCAGTGATAAGGTTTAGAAAAACAAAAAAAGCAATCCAACAAGCATGTTGGCTGGAGCATGCTCGTTACAGCTGCTGCCGTCACCATGCTCGCTGCCTACCACCGCCACTACATCAAGCATTTCATCCAAGAAAAAAAATTCATACATCACAAAGGATGGATTCAACACATCAGAAAAACTCATCCACAAATCGATTCGTGCATCGCAGACGAAGGAGAATGGTTCAACACATCACAAATCAACCCATCCACAGATCGATTCATACATCACAGACAGAGGAGCAGGGTTCAACACAAACAAAATAACTCATCTACAAATTGATTCACACAACATAGAGGAAGGTCCGGCACAGCTCCTCCGCAGGTCCGACGCAGGTCCACTACAGCTCCTCTCCACACCACAGATGTAGCGCCCCCTTGTGCCCCCTTCAGCTCCTAGAAACCAGCGAGGTAAGCCACGCGGAGAGGCAGGCCATCAGGAAGGCGCAATCTACGGACGGAGAAAAAGAAAAGAAAAGCGAGGACGAGGATAGGCCAGGGCGACTCACCTCGGATGGGACCTTCGACTCCAGCGCATGCGCTCTAGGCCTCCAGCCACGGAGCTACCGGAGCGCACGGAGATCTGGGGGAAAGTGTGGAGGCGTGGGGAGATCCGGGGAGGAGGAAGAAGCCGCGCCGGGATCCCGACCGCTCGCCGACGCCCGCGGCGGCCTGATGCCTTCGCCGCGCCGGCTTCCCGACCGCTCGTCGGTGGCCGCAGCGAGGTGGATTTGGAGAAACATGAGAGAGAGGAGAGAGATTCGGCGGAGAAACATGAGAGAGAGGAGAGAGAGCGGGGAGAGATATGAGAGAGAGGAGAGAGAGCGCGTGGATTCGGCGGCCACACAGTTAACCAGGATGAATTAAAATTTCGGGTCCGGAGCTATGGATCACTGCCGGTCTGTGAGATGCAACCGACAGTGATACACATCACTGTCGGTTTTTATTACCAACCGGCAGTGATAATATATATCACTGTCGGTTTGTTTGAAAATCCGGCAGTGATAGCTTTTTTCTTACGAGTGATGCATTTATCAGTGTCGGTTTTAAAATTCCGGTAGTGATAGGGTAGACAGTGATAGCTTATTCTGGGGTAGTAAAGAGATATTTCACACAATTCTTACATCTTGAATCGGGATGTGGAGATCCTTTAAAACACCTAAATCTTTTTTTTATAACATGCTCATAAAATTCAAGTGTAGGAAGGAAATTTTTCACTCACTTACAATATAGATATCATCTATCAATCAATGACAGTACTATACCTACTGCAGCATCTATCGATGACAGCATACATCTTAATGGAACACAAAGCCGAACTAAACTACTATGGAGCACGTGACTAGTACGTGAGTAATGTAAGCAGAGAACACAGATACTGACAGAGTAAGACGTACACTATTAAATTAGCCAGTAATTGGATGCACAATGTAGAGAAAACACACGCAGAAGCCCATGTTCACAATAATAAAAAAAGCAAAAGCATGCAAACAAACAGCATAATATATATGTTATACTCCGTACATGTTTAATTTGTCATCTAGACCCTGAGAAGGTAGATGCTGAGCTCGGGCCCGCCGCCGCCGTCGGGGTTCACCATGTAGAACGCCTCCGAGTCCCTGGACCCCACCACCCGCTCGAACTTGGCCCTCATGTACATGAGGTCGCCCTCGCCGGCTGCGGCGCCTCCCGTGCCCACGTTGTCGCCGTCGGGGAGCACGCCGGCGCCCACAGAGACGGGCTCCACTGCGCGCAGCACCCGCCACTCGTCCGCGCCGCAGTCCCGCCGCACCGCGTAGCCGCACTTGCGGCCGTTGCAGTACGCGCGCCAGGTGGCCTCCTCCACCAGCGCCGCCGCCTGCTGCCGTGGCCGCCTCTGGTGATGATGGTCACCTGAAATGCAAGGCGGTCGCCGGTCGCCATCACGATGCATGGACGATGAGTGAGCATGGTGAAAGCAACAGAGTGTACATATATAATGCCATGTGGAAGTGGAAACGCCGCCAAGTAAGCATCGACATCTATGGATGATGGGTCACCTGTTTGCTGCGGAGGTGCGGGTGGCTTATCGCACTCGAGAGCGAGGCGGACGAGTCCCGAGGCCATCTCCCTGACGAGCGCGCCGGTGGAGTAGGCGGCGAGCTCGACCATGAGCGCGGGCGGGGCGCGCGGATCGGTCTGCAGCGCGAGGTGCACGCGACCGCGGCGGCGGCCGAAGATGGTGCCCGTGACGGTAGCACAGGACCCCAGCGGCCGTCTCCCGCGCCCGCGCCCGCGCCGCGCTCGAGCTAGCACGGCCAGGATCGCCGACCTGAGCCGCGACAGCGCCTCGCCGCGGCGCTTCCTGCCTGCTGGAGCGTCGTCTGGAGTTGTTGGACCAGCGCCGGCGACGGGGCCGATGTAGGGCGTGGCGCCGGCGAACATGGAGGCGCACTCGTCGTCGTCACAGCCGTCGTCGGCGTCTTGCTCCACGGCGACGGGCCGGCCCTGCTGCACCTTGTTGGCGCGCTTCCTGAGCAGCCATTGGAGGTTTGAGAGGCCGCCCCCGGCGTTCTTTGACCGGAGCGGCGACGGCGAGGCAGGCACGGTAGCCGGTGACGCGGCGTGGAAGGCTCTTGCCATGGCGGCCGTCTGATCAGCTAGCTCTCGTACATGCGCGTAAGACAGCAGATCGCTGGCAAGTACTATATGAAGAAGGCAAGAAGCAAAGCTCTTCGTGTCACTGTGACAGTGGAGAGAGGGACAGGCAGCTTTAGGCGTGCAGTGAGCGGCGCAGGCAGCAGAAGGGCGGCCTGCGCTTTCCGCAGGCTGGTGTGCGCAGCTACCGCCGCGGAAACCTGCATAAATACTCGCGTTACCGTCAAGACGGACCACACGCCGACGCCGTGCCCGTGCTGGCTGCTGAATTGCTGATGCTATAAGAGCCTGACAGAGAAGAGAGAGAGAGAGAGAGAGAGTGGATGGCCGGGCCGGACCGCCGGATGGGTTGGCAGAGCAGGCGGACCTACACCCACCAAACTGGCAACAAAGGGACGATGTGAATGCAAACAAAGCGATGGAATTTAACTGTTTTGCTTTCGCTTTCATGGCGACGAGGAGAGGAAGGAAGGCGACAGGGAGAGACAGGGCATTGGGAGGCGCAACGCAACGCCGGCCGCATGACGCGCGCGCGACACTGACATGCACCGCGATGTTTTGCTGTGCTGTGCATGCCATGCCATGCCATGATGATGCGTTTCCAAGTGATCATCAATAGAGTCCGTCTGCCTGCAACGTTCTGGACCTATAGCTTGCCTCAGTTTGCAGGCCTAGCTTCTTCCCTTCATACATATGCACGCCCACAATTCGTGTAAAAAATTGGCACTGTAGAGAATTTGGCATCCATATGTACAGTATAGTCATGACCTTCGTCCTTCGTCGTCCTAGCTCATCATCGGTCCTTGCATGATCGATGAAACTGAAACATTCAAATATCCAATGCAAGCACATGGTGATTCCATTCGAAAACATCATACTTAAGTTTTTTTTCTCGAATCCTCAAGTGTATTGTATCATTATATTAAGGAGGAATAGAGTTTAAGTTCCACAATCGGCCTGAGGCTGAGGCCCAGTTGAAGATTACATTTTTCCTCAAACCTAAGACACACCGTGCAGCAGCTATACCCCGGATGCTTAACTAGAGAGTCCATGCGCCCCTGCCAAGATCCAGCGATCCGCCTTGGCTTTTATCAGTGCCAACAGCTCGTTCACCGGTGTGGAAGCCTCCTGAAACATCTGGCGTTGCGTTCCTTCCATAGTTCCCAAGAAACCAGCGTGAACAGAGAGAATCAATGCCGCTGCTAGCCATTCCATGCCGATCTTAGGCGCCTCCACCAGGTGATGGTAGTGTTCGTCGCCGGCGGTAGCTGGGTGCCCAGGGTCCGACAGATATGAAACCAAACCTCTCTTGAAACCAAAACATCAGACTTAAGTGTTCACAAGGAAAGTACATCAATTCAAATATCGTGATTCGTGTTAGTTTGTATGTAAGTGCTTTGGAGCGTCGTCTAGAGCTCAAATAACCTTGCTATTGTCTCGAAAGTGGACTTATACGTTGACGACTCTTGTCCGTCGATCGGAGATATATGTGCATCTCGTTGAATGGCATATATATACTCCTATCTAATAAGAATATATATACATACATATAATCACTTGATCAGCGACATGGCCAAGCTAGCTGTGCGCATATCTAAGTGACATTATATAAACATAATAGACATAGAAGGGTTGAGTGTACGACTTGTAGAGTGAGGCAGAATAAAGATTGTGCATTTATTATTAAGAAAAAACATATATGGCCCGCTGATGTGGAAAGGCATATATGAATTATAGTGTCATCGTCCCGATGAAATATAATTGGCTCTAGCTACATAAGCAAGATGACGTCAATGCCGTGTTGCCAATATAATGGAGTTCCGATTTAGTGGATTGATTTTTTATGTGTTGTATATGGACAGTGGACGATCACATCAATGATTATAGATATGCTGGAATTATTATAAGAAAATAAAGCCTGCAGAAAGCCATGTACAATATATTCTATAAGCCTCGAGGGATATCTATAAATCATTGAAACGGGGATTAAAGAGGGTAATCATGATTAGACGCCCCTGGGGGATTTAATATTTAGCCACCAAACGATCGTGCATATATTGTCCAATCAATTATTATTAGACCATCATGAATTATACAAGTGTGAAATACACATAGACAAGCAGGAAATTAAATATTACTGCACATATGTGTGTCAGGAGACAGAATAGGTCAGTGAAACTAAATCTAGAAGCATCTTGAGAACCTTTGTTACTGAAGAAAAGAGCCACAGCTCCGTTGCATCTAAGTCATAACACTGCACATACATGGTCAAATCACAAAGACAATCTTAGGAGAAAGGAAAAGAGGCGCTTTATTTGTTGCAATCGTAGCAAGCATCATCAATGCTGCAAATACCTTTGGTAGTTGAGACTAGCTAGGCAGAACAGATCGATGAGATGTGTGCTCAGGTAGCCCTAAACACACATGGTCAGGTCGTCAAGCAAGACTAACTATTTTCCAAAGCAAATGACAAGAGCCTCCAAGACACACGCATGGCTACAAACCACAAACAAGACTACAAGAGCAATAACTAATCTTATTTGGTATCACCATCCTCAGAAACAGTCAAACACTGCCGTTGTATTACGAACCGAAACCATGCATGCATGCACCTAATAACAAAACCTACAAGAAGATCAAACTTTTTCATTTTTGACAGCTTGTGGCACTCGATCGAGGTAACACGATCACGCATCAAAAGGCAAATTCTGGCCATGCATATATCACCTAGCCCGTAGGTTTCAGTCTGCCGAGCTGCCACCAACATCATCATAGTCGCATGTATGTGCTCTGCAAAAGAAGCCAACAAAAGATAAGAGCATAAGAAAAAAAGGGAAGGGCTACCCTCTGTCACTCTGTCAAATTAGCAGCAGCTAGCTGCCTACTACTACGAGTAGTATCATGCATTGCGTGACAACCTACAAGCACGGCATGCATAAATATGCCGGATCCGATGAAAGCAAGCACGAACAGCAGCAAAAGGTTAAAAACAAATTCTTGATATCCAAAGCTTTTAGTCTGAGAGCCAAAGATAAAGAGCTCTCATGCTGAGCAGTAGCTATCATCCCTTCTGTCTCTCTAACCCATGTGCAGTCTTTAGTCTTTACCGAGAAGTGAAGCTAGAATCCTCCTACTGCGTATTTTTAGACATGCAGGAATCCGCCTTTTTTTTTTGTCTTGCGCCTATATAAACTAGTTTAAGCCTTTAAGGTTAACAACAAATTACTACCGTACTTCCAAACAAGAAAAAGGTCTGAGACATTGATCCTCTGGTACTACTACAATAATAAACTCCAAATATGGTTAAAGTTGATTCATAGAGACAGTGGAGCTGTATCATTTTCCTGGAAAGATTGTCATACTCTCACAAAGTGTTTGAACCATTCGCAAATTTAAAATAATCTTAGCATCGCATTCTCATTTGATTATGGAGCACGAGATATTTGTTCACCCCACAAAAACAAAAGAAGGTAGGACTAGTAATCCAATAACAAAATTGTCTTATAGATATCACAAAAAAAATCAATGTGTCTGCTCAGAGGACATCCAGAACATCAAGTGCAATAATAAGGCCTAATCCTGCAGATAGAAAGTATTGACCGGCAACATCCGACTTCACATTACAATGGTAAGAAAGAAAGTCATGTGACAGCATTGCTCTTCCCCGTTCATAGGCCTTCTGTTTTAAGGCTTAGGGGGTTAGGGATTTATGCATTTATGAACGAACTATCGAACTTGAAGATGAAGAAAGACCACCTATAACGAGTCTACTAGATGAAGACGAAGAAAGACCATAGATGATAGAACTCCTGTTGTCCTGCATGATATCAAGTTCTTCGATAGTTCGTTCTACTAGTGTGCCAAATTTCTCTAATTCACGTCATGTATCTAGCCGGTTGGAAAACATACAATAATCGTCTAGAGACACTTAGGCACGCCTATGCGCTAGGCGTAGCACTTTTCCGTGCACCTCAATTAAACACATGAATTAGTTGTCATGGGAGAAAATACAACTATTGTAATTTTCGTTGTACTTGTTTGGATCCACACCCAACTAAAGTTTAGTTAGCTAAAATTTCAAAGCAAAGCTTTAGCTAGCGAAAAGTTCTTCCAGCTAAACTTTAGCTGCGGTGTTTGGACCCTCCAGCTAATAGACTCAGCTAAATTTTAGCTGGCTTGCTTTAGCTGAGTTTAAACAACTAAATTTTAGCTGGGCTGTTTAGATATGTATCAGCTAAATTTAAGTAGCTAAAGTTTAGTTGGTGAATCCAAACGGACCCAATGTTGATATAAGAATCAAGATGTTGACAACCAAAAGTAATCGGACGTCTACAATTTTAGAAACCACATTCATGCAGCAGTGAAGAACCCTTGAATATTAAGTAGATATTTTGTGTCATGCTATGTCCATCCTGAATCATAATTATCCACCCCCCACCCACTTATGCCAAAGGTTTTTCTCTGCTCTGCATTTATGTTGCCAGGTAGCCATGGAGGCGCTGGCGAGGGGGAGCTCGCCGTGGTGGCCGACGAACATCACAAAGATCTTCTGGATCAGGCTTTGCAGCAGACTGCCGGCTGATAGAAAATTACAGGATCACTAGCCATAGATTTAAGCATACAAAACTAATATTTGGGATAAATAGCGAGTCCTAGAACATGAAGTAGTACGAGATTTATAGATAGAGCGAGAGAGAAAGGGGTTGCGAAGGTGCAAACCATCGACCGCCTTCGTAGAAGACGGGCTGGCCATGGAGTCGCTTGTCGGTGGCGCAGTGAAGCCCGACGGCGAACACGTTGTCGCGGTGGCGGCGGTGGCCGGTGGCGGAGCTTTTCATCGCTGGTAGCGCCCCCTCTCAAGATCGGCTAGGGTTAGGATGCAGGTGGGGCGTCTGCCGACGCAGACGAACCTCGTGTCTTGTGCCCCGGCCCTCACGTCCCTTTTTATGGCGCTGTGCGACGGGGACCCACCAACCATGGAACAG